CTGTCAGACATTGAGACATATTGCATCTCTAAATGTGCAGAAATCAGTTGATTTGGAGAATGAAAAATTATGAGTTTTGAGTTAGAGAATTCATATTAAAAATGAATCTTTTGTAAATTTTTTTCTCTTAGTCTCAGTTTACTCACCTGTGAAATATGATTAGTAACATCCACCTGAAAAACACTGAAAACTCTCATATCAGAAAGAGAAAGTACTGGGTACAAAAATTATAAAATATTGCAAGGCATATGTTTGTAATGGACAAAATGGTTAAGAGATCAAAATCTTGATTATATAAATAATGCTTACTAACAAATGAAATGATTCCCCTTAAAGAAGTGAGCAAAGAACATGAAATTTTCCAGCAAAAATATATATGGCCAATAAATATGTAAAAATGTTCAATGCCATAAGTAATTAGGGAATAAATAATACATAAAACACAACATGCCACCCTTCACTGATGAAATTAACATAGATTTTTAGAAAGAAAGATAGTACTGGAGACTTGTGATGGATGCATATTTTTATTGGGTCAAATATTATTGTATGGACCAAGCATTCTTTTAAGAAATGAAGACAAAATGAAGAATAAGACAATGGGATCATTGTACTCACAGACTTTACGTCCTGAGGTGTGTGTGTTGTTCAGGGGAGTCAAGCAATGATCAACTAAATAAACGAAAAGTTGTAAATGAGCTAAGTACCATGAAGGAAATAAACAGGGATTCTGACAGAAAATAATGATAAGAGGAGATAGTGAGGTCAGGGAAAGCCCCTTTTAAAAGGGTATTTTAAGCTAAAACTGTAGAGATGAGACGCTACGCTACTAGTTCTGTTAAGAGCTTGAAAAAGTGTCCAGGCAGAGGAAACACCAAGCATAAAGACACTGAATTAAGAGTGGGCTGCACGTGCTTTAAGAATGGTCAGAAAAGCCAGTGGAGTTGGGGCACAGTGACATAAGAAGGGGAGCAAGATGGCAAGGGGTCAGGTGGGAAGAGACCAGGTCCATCATGGCCTTACAGGTCATGAAAATGGGTTTGAATTTTACTCTTAGTGTAACATCTAACAGATACAAACTTTCAAATGAATAAGAAAGCAAATGCTTACTGTGCACGTACAATAAAAACTCAAAATTTACCAGTTCTGTGGGAATGTAAATTGATATAGTCACTATGGAAGACAGTATGGAGATTCCTTAAAAAACTAGGAATAAAACTACCATATGACCCAACAATCCCACTACTGGGCATATATCCTGAGGAAACAATAATTGAAAAAGACACATGTACCCCAATGTTCATTGCAGCATGATTTACAATAGCTAGGATATGGAAGCAACCTAGATGTCCATCAACAGATGAATGGATAAAGAAGCTGTGGTACATATACACAGTGGAATATTACTCAGTCATAAAAAGGAATGCATCTGAGTCAGTTCTAATGACGTGGATGAACCTAGAGCCTATTATATACAGTGAAGTTAAGTTAGAAAGAGGAAAACAAATATTGTATATTAAGACATGTATATGGAATCCAGAAAGATGGTACTGATGAAACTACTTGCAGAGTTGCAATGGAGACAAAGACATAGACAACAGACTTGTGGACACTGGAGGGAAGGAGAGGGTGGGTGAATGGAAAGAGTATCATGAAAACCCATACACTACCTTATGTAAAATAGACAGCCAGTGAGAATTTGCTGAATGACTCAGGGAACTCAAACTGGGGCTCTGAGAAAACCTAGAGGGGTGGGAGGGGGTGGAAGGTGAGAGGGAAGTTCAAGAGGGAGGGGACATATATATAACTAGGGCTGATTCATGTTGGCGTATGGCAGAAACCGACACAACAGTGTGAAGCAATTATCCTTCAATTAAAAATAATTACATTGTAAAAAGTTACTAATCAAATGGAAATAAAACTACACAACTGATAAAACTGAAATTGCCAACATTGATTTAATGTGGCAGATGTTCTTTGCTGATACTGCATTGCATCTGATGCTTGTATTTAGCACCAACTATGACAGTATAGGTTCTTCTTGGTTATATGTACTTATATTAACACCAATCTTATTCTAGTTATTTTACAACTACTCTTTCATAGCTTATTATTTATGTTTCACTTGCTAAAATTCTCAATTTTCCTATTGCATTCTATATATTCAACAGTTAGAATAACTAAAGTAGCACTGCTTGGTGTCAGTAAAATAACAGAAATAAGGATCTCAAAGAGATGCAAGGACACTGCTGTTCGTTTGAAGTGAAGTGAAGTTGCTCAGTGGTGTCCAACTCTTTGAGACCCCATGGACTGTAGCCTACCAGGCTCCTCGTTCCATGGGATTTTCCAGGCAAGAGTACTGGAGTGGGTTGCCAATTTCTTCTTCAGGGGATCTTCCCGACCCAGGGATCGAACCCCAGTCTCCTGCATCGTAGGCAGATGCTTTACTGTCTGAGCTACCAGGGAAGCCCCGCTATTCATTGTAGAACTATTCAAATAGATAAGATGTGAGAACAGCCTTAATGTCTACCAACAGATGAATGGATAAAGAAAACGTGATCTATTTCAATGTTTAAAAAGAAGAAAGCTCTAGGATATGGGACAACACATAGACTTTGAGGACATTATGCTAGGTGGACTCAGCCACAGAAAGACCTGTTCTGCTTGATTCCACTTATATGAGAAAATTAAAGTCAGATTCATAAAATCAAAGGCTGAAATGATGGTCACCAAGGGCTAGAGGGAAGGGCGGAATAGGAGATTATTAATAGGTTAGGCATAAAGTTTCAGTTAAGCGACATGAACAAGCTTTAGAGATCTGCTGTCTAACCGGGTACCAAGAGTCAAGAACAGTGTATTGTAAGAGGACAGAGCTCATGCTATATTCTTAATGAAATAAATAAATAGAATTCAAACAAAAATTAAAGTCAGAAATAAAAGAAATGATGGCATTTATCATCTTGAGTATCTAGAATATTTATATGTATATGTGTTTATTTATCAATGCGTTTGAATCATTATCAAATAGAAATGGAGCACTTAACAACTTACATAGGAAATGGTCAGGTACCCAACAGGATGTCCTAAGACTTCACGTGGGAAGCACAGATCTAAGGCATAGTATCGTGGACTATTCCTTCAGGCAGGGGCTCATAATTGTCAGAATTCTATAGCTAAAAATCCCACTAAGCAGAGGCAAACATATCTCACAAAAAAAAAACACCTAAATTTCAAGGAGAATTTCCTGCTGGGTTTTCTTTTTCTTTCTTTCTTTTTTTTTCTTTGAAACAATACTTTTTATTTTTTTTATTTTTTTTTCATTTATTTTTACTAGTTGGAGGCTAATTACTTTACAATATTGTAGTGGGTTTTGTCATATATTGACACGAATCTTTTTCTTTTTTTTAATAGGCCGGCCCACAGCGTCACCACTGTTGCCAGACCCAGTAGTGCCCACAGCTGGAGCCCCAGAGACCTGCTCCTGGTCGGGCTCTGGCTTGGGCTTCTCCGCCCGCATTTCTGTATGGGCTCGCCCTGTTAGGTTTTCTTATTGCTCTGGTTAAACCTTCTAATTTAAGTCCCCAAAGCTCTTTTCAGGCCCTAAATTAAAGACAGAATTCAGTCAAACAAAAACCAAATCCCCGTCTGGGCACCAAAACGCTATAATCTTGACAGTTCTTCAACTCATATTGAAATAAAATGCTAGGCCATTTCTGTGTTTAAGAAGCATGACCTATAGTTAGGATTCAATGGAATGATGAATTACAATTTATACTCTAATGAATTTTAATTAATTTTTAATTAAATATAGAAAATTGAATATTCAGGCAAAATACAAAATTATAGTTGGCAAGGAGAGCAAAATGTGTAATAGATTTTGCTTTTCAATCAACCCTGCAGAATGTGTTTAAGGTTGATTTGCAAGGCAGTACAAAGAAAATAGCCATGTGAACTAGTCTGATGAAATTCGACCTATGAAATATTTTATAGTTCATTTGAATAATCACTTTAATGCATAGTGAAATTTTAGTTATCTTGCCTGAAGGATATCTGCTTTATATTTTGTGGATAACAATTTTGCCATCCCTGGCTGTGTTTAATCAAGCTATGAGTAGATGATGTGAGCAGAAGCAATGCATCCTTATTTTATCATTAGCTTAATCTGTACATATGGCACAATAGGAGCACACATATTTCACAGAGAAATTCACACAGAAAAAAGACGGTTTCTATCTTTGTCACAACTAGTCCTCATTGTGATTCAGTTTTCTTTTTCTCTTCTGTTCATTGGGTTCTCTCTGTTACAATCAACAGTGACATCTGCCAAATGCCTATGTTTCTTCCCTCTGGCCCCTTGTATTAATTGTTGGATATGGCCAGGTGACTCATTTGACTAATTTTGGCCAGTGAGTTATAGGCGGAAGTGTCTTGTGCAGCGCTTCAGGCATGGAGTATTCAACTCTTGGTTAAAACCTTGGAGAGATCTTTACTCCTGGTTAAAATTCTGGAGAGTTCTCTCTAGTATAATGATCAGCAGTATTTGTAATGATGGCTTTTCTTCTGATCTATGTCCCTGAAGACTGTGATGGGAGGATAGGAAGAGATCCCAGTCATATAAAACGGTCAGAAAACAAACCTGTATTGCTTTAAGCCACTGCAGTTTTAGGGTCATTTGCTTCCATGTCTATCCCCATGCTATTCTGATATAAATTCTATGCAACATCTTGTGCTTGATGCTAGGGGTTGCATCAGTGAGTAAGATTGTGAATGAAATTGTGAATGACCACGTGATGCTTGTATTTTAGTGAAGACATTTATTAATAGCTCCACATACTAGAATGAAAGCTACGTGAGGGTAGGAATATTTGTATATTTTGTTCATGGCTGTATCTCAGGGCTAGAAACATACCTAGTTCAAAGGAGATGCTCATCTGAGATTAACTGTTGAACAAATGAAGGATAAAGTGAATAAGCTCATGAAGTACTTATACTTTTTACAGAGTATGAAGACCTTTGGTAATGATGCAAGGTGCCCAGTCCACTAAGGGGAGTAGAGGCGACATCCTGGTCCAACAGTAGCTTTGGGGAAGCAGGAATTAACAGGTAAGGGATGGCACAGTTGGAAAGGAGAACAAGTTGCAAGCAAATAGGATGGCGTGTGCAGAGCCACCGCCATGGAACGACAGCGGCATGAGGAAGAAATGATGGTAATTTAGCTGGAGGACAGGGACCGGTGGGCACAGTGGAACAAGGTGTGGTGGGTGAAGCTGTGGGGAGCCTTGTAGATCTTAAGAACTGTAGGTTTACTCTTTCGATTCCTCCAAACCTCTCCAAAAGAGTAGCATTGACATATACGCAGTACCACGTGTAAAACGGATAGCTAGTGGGAAGTTAACTGTATAACGTAAGGAGCCCAGCCCGGTGCTCTGTGATGACCTAACGTGGTGGGATGGAAGGGAGGAAGGGAGGCTCATGAGCGAGGGGATACATGTGTATTTATGGCTGATTTACTTTGTTGTACAGCAGAAACCAACACAAAATTGTAAAGCAATTATCTTGCAATTGAAAATGAAAAAAAAAAATTGCAGGTTTAGCCTAAGGAAATTGGAGACAGCAGTTGAAGGGACTGTTAAATTCAAGCTGCTGTGCAAAAAAAAGAAAAAAAAAGAAAAAAAAAAAACTGGAAAGATCTTTTAAAAAATAAGAGTTTATGACCAAAGACATTTTGTATGGGGGTAGAGCTGATTAACAATGTGATCAGTTCAGGTGATCAACTCAGCCATACATACACATGTATCTCTTCTCCCCCAAACCCCTCTCCCATTCAGGCTGGCACAAAACATTGAGCAGAGATCCCTGCACCATGCAATAGGTCTTTGTTGGTTATCCATTTGAAATATAACAGTGTGTACATGACCTTCCCAAAGTCACTAACTACCCCTTAAAAATAAAATTTAGAAAAAACAAAGCAACAAAAAAAGAGTTTATGCAGGATATTGACTCAATTTATTGCTAACTCTAACTCAGAATTAAACAGTGATTTGGACTGTCACTTTGGATCTTGGCAATTCACCTCAGTCTTCCAATTGAAACTGAGTACCGACCGGTTACAGAGGAGGGGCCTGCTGTCTGTGTGGGCCCCTCCCAACTAAAGAGATTTGGCATAAGACCTTAATCTCATATAAAAGGTAGTGTCAAGAGAATGCTCACAGAATGTTCTGGAAGACATTGTTCATTTCCTTTTGAAGTCTCTTTTGATCTTTGGAAGAGATTTTTTCCTAGTTTGACACTAAGAATAGATTTGCTTCTCTTGAGAAATATTCTTTTTATATTTTGAGGACAGCTAAAATTTGAAGCTGATCAATTTCCCTTTTCCTGTGACTGTTTTGAAAAGCTCAGAACGAACATGTGTCCCACTTGAAGCAACTGTATGGGACAGCATGTGTATATATATTAAACTGTCTCCTTGGTATATTTCTGTCTCCTCGGTATGTTTCTGCCCTCGGCTTTGCTCTTTATTCTTACCTACTTCTAATGTAGGTCATCCTACCATGTTTTATGCATTCATCCTAAGTCATCTTAAAGGTCTTTGGTTCTGTTGTTGTTCAGTCACCCAGTTGTGTCTGACTCTGTGATCCCATGGACTGCAGCATGCCAGGCCTCCCTCTCCTTCACTAAAGTTGCCAAAGTTCATATTCATTGCACTGGTGATGCCATCCAGCCATCTCATCCTCTAATACCCTCTTCTCCTTCTGCCCTAAGTCTTTCCCAGCATCAGAGACTTTTCCAATAGGTCATCTGTTCACATCAGATGACCAAAATACTGGAGCTTCAGCTTCAGCATTTTGGTTCTAAATATAGTAAAAACAACCATTTCTGAACCACTTTTTATCTCTAATCAGGTAAATAATCTTAGTATAAGAGCTAAACCACACACTTTTCTATGATATAGCTTTTAAAAGGGAGTTTCCTTGGCTCAGTGGTAAAGAATCTGCCTGCCAGTGCAGGAGACGTGATTTCAACCCCTGGTTGGGAAGATTTCCCTGGAGAAGGAAATGACAACCTGCCCCAGTACTCTTCCCTGTGAAATCCCATGGACAGAAGGGCTGATGGGCTATAATCCATTGGGTCACAGAGAGTCAGAGATAACTTAGTGACTAAACAACACACAACTTCCTAAAAAACATGAAAAAGAGGAGCCAGATTAATCTTAATATAGCAAGAAAATCATTCATTGGTTACTTGTTATGTGTTAGGTACCATAGTTTCAAGGATGAATATAAATAGATATGGTCTGTGCCTTTATGAACTTGTAGTTTAGTGGGACAAACTCTGGATCTGTGGGAAACAGGCTTGTATTATGTAAGACTCTCTGTATTGCATACTAGTAGGATTTAGAGCTGGACCTCCTTTGGATTTGATTCCCAGCTACATCACTTACTTACTTGACCTTGGGCAAGTTATTTGACTTTTTCTACTCGTTACTTTCCTCCAGTGTAAAATAGCAATGCTAGTAGTACCTACCTCCTAGGATTGTTGTAAGGATTAAATGAGTGAATGCACATAAAGAACTCAGAATAGTGCCTGGTGGAGTTACAATATTGTTAGCTATTATTATTACCTATAAAGAGGATTTGAGATGAAATAATACTTAAGTGTTCCTGTGAAAGACACACTGGGAAATCATAGCTTCTTTTTCTTACTCGCTTCTAAGTGAAGCACTGTATGCTGTTGAGAGTTATGAGATCATTGAGAGAGAAGAGACCTTGGGAATCATCTTGGACAATTTCCAACTAATTTAGAAATCTCTACCACTTGCCTAATGGATGTCTATTCAGCCTTTGTTAGCATTTGCAGAAATTTGGAGCCCGCTCTTGAACAATTCATTCCATTCCATCGTAGGGTAGCTCTAATGGTTAGAAAGCTTTTCAAGGGTTGAACCAAACTCTAAAATAAACAAAAAAGGAAGACACTAAGACGGGGCTTTCATCCTGAATTAATACACTAGTGGTAAAATAATTTGATATGCCCCAAACATGATACTTACTAAGTTGTACATAGTTACTTTCCTTAAGTGTACTGAATTTAAAATACTTGAAAGATAAAATATGAGCACTTAATCCACAGGTATTTATTGAGGACCTACTCTGAATTAGGCACATAATTTAAAAAACTAAGTTTCTGTAAAGAACTACATTTATATGGTGTCAAAACAGGAAGAGATATGCCAGGGATTTAACTAAATATACTAAATTCCTACTTACGTGATAGGCAACTTAAATTTCACTAATTTTTCACAAACCTTTATGGTAGGTGTCATTGTTTTGATGAGCTTCCCTGGTGGCTCAGGGGTAAAGAACCTGCCTGCCCATGGAGGAGACTCAGGTACGACCCTGGGTCAGGAAGATCCCCTGGAGGAGGAAATGGCAACCCACACCAGTATACGTGCCTGGGAAATCCCACGGACAGAGGAGCCTAGTGGGCCACAGTCCATGGGGTTGCAAAAGAGTCAGACACGACTCAGCAACTAAACAACATTGTTCTTACAGTAAAGTAACTGAGAAACCAAGATCCAGAGAGTTATTTTTCAAATAAATGTAACTATAGCTGGTATATAAATAGCAGACCTAGAATTGGAACACATTTCTGTCAGTTTTTTCCCCACTGAATCCAGAGGTTTAAAGGGCAAAAGTAATAAGAGAAGTAAAAATGCACCTGGTAAGAACTGACTTCAGGGTGCCAAAGAACCATTATTTTACAATGGTAGGCCAAAAAAAGGAGAAGTTTAAGACTATTTCTGAATATTCAAACAGTGCTATTGTATGAATAAATGATTTCACCAATAAAATATACAGCCTTTTTATGTGCTGCTGACCATGTTGTCATTATACAGACTGGCTCATCATTCATTTACATCAGTCTCATTGTGACCACTTTAAATTTCTCCTTATCTCTCTTATGTTTATCTTCACATTAAAGATGGTAGCCGCACTGTGCTGGAAGCATCATTTAATTCTTGCCTTGTCTCCATAATGACTGTCTTGTGGACACTGGTTTTGATTTGGGGTTTACTCCTTATACTCTTAATTCTTCAGGGTAACTGAAAACAGAGTTTGTGGTCTGGGAGATAAACCATTGCCATAGTAATGCATAAGACCCACTTCCACAAGGCATGCCTATATCCTCCTATGGTGTATTTCAATAGCATTGGTCAATTAGTATTCAGACCACTCCTGTATATCATTTTCATTAATGGAGATGGAGCTTTCCCTCACAGAGTTCACTCGGACATGAGACTTTTGATGGCTGGAGCTTTTCCTATTTTGTTCTCAGGTCCTTAAATAGTAGATTGCACACACTGACATTCAGTAAAGTTGATGAATGGATGAGTAAGACCAAAACCGCAAACCCTATCCCCTGTGGGTCATTTGGCTTTCTGAAGCCAAATGGGCTGTTGTAAATATTCATATTTTCACTTTTAAAGGTGAAATGAGCTTGTGAAATCCAAGTTTGTTAAAGCATGACTGTTTTGAAAAACACTGGATGACTGAGGCCAACTCCAAAAAACCTAATGGAAGAAAGTCCTCATTTCCTCTGACTGTCAGCACAAACCAGGGCTTTTCAATCACAGAGTACTCGCTTGGAACCTAACTTCTTCATTGTATTGCCTCTAAAATGGGGATAATGATATTAATCCCTTAGTGTTATTGCAAGGAATAAACACCACATGTGAAAGCATATTTCACAGTGATTGGCACACAGTCATTGCTTAATGAAAGCTTGTTTGTGTTCTTCCTTTGTATAAATAAAACACAGTTGTTAGAGATATAAATATTATCAGTTGCTTAGATCTTGGTGACTAAGCAAAGCAAATGTAATTAGGAAGAAACGTAAACTTTGAGTTACAAATTTTGATGGTAGGCCAGTGACTAAAACACTAAATTATTTCAGTGTATCATAGTACCTTTCTATTGAGGACAAATATCATATGGTCTTAGAATTTAGTGATGCATTATAAGTTAAGGAGAAATATCCAATAACTCACATACATGCCCAGCTCCAGATATCCAATGGCAAAACTCCC